AAAAAATTATTAGAAAGTTTGTTATAACACTAAAATTTATGACAAAACAAGATTATAACAAATGAAGTTAAAATTCTATTGGCTATAATTGTTTGTTATATGTTCGTTTAGTTCAATACTGATAGTTTTTACAGTTTAATTACAGTTTAATTACTAAAAGGTATTGAGGATGCTCAACTAAGAAATAAGATATAGAAAGTAAATTTTATTACAGAATCATTTAAAATTATTTTTATACCTACAATTCAAGTACTAAATAATGATGCTGAACAAAGTGTGTCCTTCGGGATGATAGTTAAACATTTGTTTTATTCTCATAATATAATTAGACTATTATTTTATTGGGGCTGGCAGAATTATTTAAAACCAGTTAAATTAGCTTGTGTGGGTTGTAATTATCATTTCATAACACAGACAAATACCTAACATTCAATCTGAAGACAGCCCATATATGGGCCAAAATATTATTCACAACATGACTTATGTTCATAAATAGAATATCGTGTCAGAAATAAATCTGTTTTATTTTATGTATCATTACTAATTGTATTAATATTTCATCTATAATTATTGTTATAAAAATAAGAAATTAGTAAGTCTTTTTTAATATATCACATTACATTACAAATTTTTCATTATAATATAAAAGTTGTAATAATTAATAATTATATCAACTGGAAAAAAGTCATTAAGATTGATGATTATAAATATAATCATTACCAATTCTTTTTAAATAAAAGCCCCTTAATAATAGAGCTGTTTCATATTTTACAAAATTATTTAAAAATTATCACTTCTAGATCTAAATTCTCAGAGTAATCTATATAATCTATACTTAATCTGATCCAGAAAGTTTTAACATTAATTAGTATGGATCATCAAGGCTGCATTGTGGTTTCAAAATAAAAGTAGATATAATTTCAATAAATAATATCTACTCTCTTTAGGAATAACTAGCTCTAAGTGCAAATATAGAATTGTCTTAGTTTTAATTTAAATGACTACTATGCATTTTAAGCTAGAACTACTTAAAATGACTAAGACAAAACCTTTCACACTTTGTTTCTAGCAGTTTAATCACTAAGTACAAACATTTGGCTGTTTAATATAAAACTATATTATAATTTTAATTGAAATAAATTTTTATATATACATAAAATTGTTGTAAGTTACACGTAAATACAGTAGACCCCCCTATAACACGGGTTCCTATAATGCGGCAAAAAAATTGCGACAATATTTGTATAAAGACGCTAAAAGGGACACGTAAAACGTGATAAAACGTCATCGCCAACTCGTCATCGCAAACGAGCAGCCAAACTACTTAGCGCCACGCTACGGAGAGTTTAGGCAGATAAGTTGAGTTTACTATCGTCTGTACAGTATGTAAATTAGGTACCGTAAGTTTAATACAGCACTGTAATTTTGTACATTTCTTGTGAAAGAAACATTTCTTATTCAATGGCCATAAAAATTATTTCTATTAATGATGTCTCCAAAGTTCAACAAATTTTTCGCAGAAAAATAACATCTGAAATCGCGGCCACCGTTTGGTGCGCTGCTCCGCGACGAACACAAGCTTAAGCAATGGTGACGTCAGACAGTGCACACTTGGTAAGTAATCCTACAATTTTTTGTTTATAGCATAGTTTATACGGATTATTCCCAAAAAATTATACGTATTTTGGAAATGTTAAGTCGAATTAGTCTAGAATCGATTAATTTTATGGAAGAAAACCTTTCAAACAGCCGTAGTCTGTAAACTTCACACGTTCGGGCTGCGATTGGCTCATGTATTTAAGGATTCCTACAACGCGAAATTCGTATAACAAGGAACGTATCTCCGCATTATAGGGGGTCTACTGTATATTAACAATATCTTCTACTATAAAAGAATAATAATAAAGAATACCTTTAGAGCATGTTATGTAGTTTTGTTATCAAATTACATTTTATTTTAATTTTATTTAGATATATTGTCAGTCNTATCTTTCTAGTTAGATATTTTAAATATATATATAAATTTAAAATATCTAACTAGAAAGAAACAGTGTAAAAAAAATTTTTTCTTTCTTGTTAGATAATTTATAAACAGTTTTTATTTTTTTCAATTTTATTTTTATTTTTATTTTATTTTATTTTTCTATTTACAAACTAATCTATATTTCAGAAGGATTTAGTATACTTTTGAACACCAATTATATACATTGTCCAAATCTTGTACACAAACATTTGATAAAAATTAGTTATAAAATTTGATTATTATTAAATCAAAGAATGAAAGATAGATCAAGAATGAAAAATAAAATTTTAATTATAAAAACAGTAATGTTAAGAATTTATGTGAATGTCCATACAAATATTGCTAAACAAATTAGTGAAATTTAAATAACTTTTGAAAAAATTCAAATTTTTGTTTTAAATTCACATTGTAAATTAAACTCAAACAGGTTATTTTATATTAATAAGAAAATGAGAATAATTTCAATTTCTTAAATTATACAAGTAATTTTTTGTTAAGAACAAATGTTACATATAAAATTTCTTAAAAATATAGATCTTACATTGGAGTTACTTAGTTACAAATTATCACTGCTTACTACTTTTTGATAATTTACAAAATTATATAATTTATAAATTTGAAAATGAAATAAAATAATTGTATATTTTTAAAGTTTAGACTAAACTCATAATTTTAACTTTATTCTTCTGTAATTCAAATTGATGTTTTCATCAGCATAACTTCCTTGTCAAATACAAATGAATCACCAAATCTTTTAATCATAATTAATATCAAAAATAAAATTATGATTATTATTTGTGTGTGTGTGTTTTAGTATATAATTGACATAGGACAAACATATTAAATTGACATTATTAGTTACATTAATTCCATTATTCCAAATCTTTTTGTATGAATTTCATGTATCCCAAATACATTTCAAAATAGAAATATTTTTTATTTCATACAACTTCATTGACTGTTTCTAGACTTTGTTTACAAGCTACATTGCTGACTTCCAATTTTTTTTGAATTTGGCAAAACTATATTATTGCATACAGCTTTTATTACAATATAATTTATACATATTTCCCATAAAAGTAATTATTAAAGCAAAGAAATCTATATTTTTGAAAATGCATTCTCTCTTAGTACATAATAAAATACATTTGCTAATTAAATTTGATATTATTTAACACAAGTAAATTACATTTAAATAAGGTATAAAAATTTTCATCTAGACATTTTCATACAAAAAATTATCTGAATTCTTATTAGATACATATTGAATTGTTATATAGTATTAAATTTCATGAACCATTAAATCAAGAATTGTTAATTATCTCTCACTTGAAAGCTAAATAAACATTTTTAATCATCATAAACAATAATTAAAATATAATTTGTTGGTAAAATAAGCAAAAACAAAAAACAATACAGTCAAGCTTCCACATTACAAACTTCTATATAGCAGATTTCTCTGTATAACAAATTTTTGCATTGTACAATGTTCTTTCAGCCAAAAATATATGTAAAATTGCTTCTAAATAACAAAGTTAAATTTTTATATAACAATTTTTTTAATTTGTAAGGTCTATCTATTATTAAAAGATGGTTACTCCATCTGGGTTGAGTTTGAATTTACATTCAATTTCAAGTGTCAATCTGTAAACCTCTTTGTAAAAAATGTAGCCCAGGTGTGAGAAATACTGGTCATTAGCTTTTAAAGCCGTCATGTAATCAACCCCCAAGTGGCTACCAGTTGTAAAGAAGAGAGAGAAAGATTATCTGTCAACAAGGGCATTTGGACCTAATTGACATACAATTAATGAATGTTGAAAACAGTAGAGAGGTGATAACCTTTCTAATATTTTCAACATTAGCAATAATTTTGACAACTACTGGACTAATAAGGTTACTGAGATTTTATTTAATTTAAGAAGTCATATAGTTGGAACATAAAGAACTGTTAATATAGTATTTAAGCATTACTAAAAAAATATGTTGCAGGAAGTTGATAAAGGCTCAAAAAAAGAAAGACATTGCAGCAAAGTTTAGAATTACTGTGAATAGTTTAACAACTAAAATAAAAAAATCACAAACCAGTTTTGAAATTAGCCCTGATGTAAGACCTACAACAAAACATGCTAGAACCTGTGTTTACATCAATGTAGATGAAGCAGTTTTATGCTCTTAATAAGTGTGAAGAGAACATTTTTTAATTGTTCTGTGCAATAAAAAAATTAGTTTTTTATGAAAATGTAGTTAAACTAGCTTGTATTTTAACACATATATATATACACTTACTTAAAATTAAATTACATTTATATTATGTTATTACTGTATATAACATTTATATTAATTTAAATTATGTAAAATAACAAAAAAATTTATTTACCAAAACATGTAATTTTTTGTATAACAAAATTTCCCTATACACAATTTTTTTGGCAGGATTTAGTGACTTATATAGAAGTTTGACTGTATATGTAAAAAACTAGACTACAGTAGAGCCTTGAAAACTCGGCACTCCGGATAACTCGGCCACACCCTGGCAGGGCAAAAAAATCTTTAGTTAATTAATTTTCATTATAAAGACAGCTTTATGCCTCATAAAGTATTTTTCTGAGGTCTGTCTTATCAGGTAAATTACTGTACACAATGTATTCATTAATTTTCATTTTCATGTAGTAAAGGCTCTATGCCTTCATAAAGGGTGTACTTTTCCTTTGTTTAAGGGTATTTGGGCAGTTTATTCTCTGTTGTATTCTGAAGTAAACAATACATACAATTACAGTACAGTATTTTCTGAGTTAACACTCATACTTATTTTTTTTTAACCCCATTCCCGATAACCCGGCATTTTCACAAACTCGGCCACCCTTCAATCCACATTAGGCTGAGTTTTCGAGGCTCTACTGTATTAATATTTCATTAACAAGAGACTTGTATTTTATTCAAAAATTTTAATTTGGAATGTTTTTAGCTTACTACTTACCAAGCCAATTCTACTAGATTTATCCACAAAGTTCAGCTAGGCTCAATCAATTTTGAAGATGTCAGTTTCAAATAAATGAAGGGAAACAGCAAACTTTGTCAAATGAATCAGCTGTAGCAATTGTGCATTTAAAGCACAACTACAAGTATTTGCTTGTAGATTTCAATAACAGATTCACTCTAGAATCCACGGCAGATTAAAGGATTAATATCTGCTGAAACAAGACTCAAATCGTGATCAACAAACATGGCCACACAAACTGTCTATGGCTGTTTGAGGAATCTGCAAGACACCAGCCTCAAGGATAGCATTCGTTGATAAAGGCCTCTTTTACAAATTGCAGTGGCTTATTGCCACTCCAGTTCCTTCTTTTTTGTTCTTTATTAATTATTGGCTCTTAAAATACCCTAAAACATAAGAGAGAAAACACATGTTAAAACATATTTAATATTTGTAAATTTCAAAAAATCTTAAATTATCCTCAAAAATCATTAATATAAATTTAAAATTATATAAGTTTCAGTTTAATTGTATTTTCACATTTGAAAAAATAAATTTACACTTTAAAAATGCAATTTTCAATTGACAAATACAGTAGAATCTCATTTTAATGGTTTTCTCAGAATAACATATTTTTTCCCTGGGTCCAGTCAAATCAATATAATTTGATTTCCTTTTAATAGACCCATAATTCGATATAACATTTTTTCTAGCCCCATCTATAGTAAACTGCATTTCTTTTTCAACATTTAGTTAATATTTGGGTATTTCCAAAATAGTGAACATTTAGATGCTGAACCAAGTGTACTGCCAAAATGTAGAGTCTATCGTCTTTCCAAGTTGTGAAAAACCTTCCTGATGAGTTTTAGCATAAATGAACAGGCTGCACATGACATTGCTAATATCAAGCTGTTGATGTTTTCAATAGGCAGAAAAGCAATATCAAAACAAACCAAGATAAATGAGTTTTTTAACAAATCATGAAATCAAATGGAGTGCTAACAAGCATACATAATTTGCCTCTTTTTGTGCTTACAGTATATACAGTTTGTCAGCTTTGTCGTACATATGCAGCAAAGTATACAACCTTGTAACTTATGTGTTTCTATAAAAGAAAGAATAGAAATCTCAAAACACTGAATAATTTCAATTACAGGTATTTTTTATATATATGGGGTTAAAAAACAAATTTTTTAACATAATGGATATTTTCCTGGGTGTGTGGGAAATCTGTTTTTCATGATATAATTGACTCAAGAAACAATAAATGATTCATTAAAATGAGATTCTACTGTATATCCTTTGTAAAAAAATCTTGATCTTCATTGAATTCACATATCACATTTATATGATTCAACTATTATAATTTTAAAAATCTGCATAAAATGCATTAAATTGTACATATTAATAAGTTATAAATGAAAAACGGAAAAATAGGAATATGAATTTTAAATTATATGCAGAAATTCAGACAAAAAGTTAAATGGATAGACAATACAGAAAAAAACGTGTGGAAACTTTGGCAAATGCCAGCTGGAGAGAAATTTCCAAAGATAGAAACAGATGATGTACTTGCAACTGCATTGTCGTGATTGTCAATCATGCGAACCTAAACTAGAAAATTGAATGTCTTCATTGTTGCAGCAAATCTAAAAATTGCATATGAGGTATTATTTATTATTGGCAAAAATATTCAATAACAGTAATACATAATAAAAATAGTTTATAATTATTAAATATTTTCAGGATTATCTTTAATAAATATTAAACATTTAAAGCTAAATACAAGGTTGAAATTGTAGTTCGCTTCACGCCAGCGTTTATAAATTAAAAATTTGACACTTCCGTGTTGCCGCGTTATTGACAGCGATTTGTTAAATTTCAGACATGCTCGCTAGTACTTTCAACAGTTTACAACCGTCGTCTTCAGGCGAAATCGAATACCTTAATTTTTGAATTGACAGCTTTTAACGGACTTTCCAAATTACGTAATGCGCGTGGTTGGAATATAGAATAAATTAATAAAATTGAATAAATAAATATTCTTTAAAGAAACCTGCTGTAATAACTTGAACTCCCCAAAACATATAAATATTGATTGATGATGCCGTGCATAGTAATGGAATAAAATCAGAACACAAAATTATAACTTGGATTGTTTCAATAAAGTTATCCATATCTGTGGTATTTCCAATGTCGGCACGTTACACGGCAGAGTAGCAGATATGTAAAGGTTTTCCCATATGGATACTAGGTACCATAAATACAAGGTTCCTACTAAAATTTTTGTTTGAAATTCCATAACTTCCCCTGACCAACATTGTAAAAATTCACTGACCCTCACATCCCATACAGTATGGCACACTGACAAAAGAAAACAGCATTTGACTTACTATGCACATATGCTATTGCTTCTCCAACTTCTTAATTAGTTATTTCTTCTAATTAATAGTTAAATATTTTTTATAATTGCCAAATTATTAAAACTAAAAATAAAATGTTTTATTAAATTAAATTATAGTAGTTTATTCTGTTGTTAATCCATAACCATAAATCTACATGGCTTTAAAGAAAAAAAAAAAGCCATTATTATTCATTAACAAATCCTGTAGAATCCATATACAAAAGCATATATTTATTAAATTTATCCCTTAATAAATTTTGTGAAATTTATAAAATATTAAAAACTGGAAAAAAATCAAAAATTGTTTTGTTACACAATCAAAATTAATAAAATAAAAAATGTTAAATATTTAAATTAAAATTGTTTATCTTTTTTGTACTTTGTAAATTTTTAGGGAAATTTCATTTGCATAAATGAAATTACAATTACACTTAACTTCAAATGGAACTTATTTATGATTCAATCCAATATTTAGAGGTTGCACTCCATAATGCCAAAAACACCACTTGACAATATTTTTATTAAAGTGGTGATAAATATATAATAATGATGACAGCAAGTGGTGATAAAAACCCTAGTCCACTTATTTCAACATTCAGCATGAAAATGAATCATAAATCACACTTCAGAAAAAACAACTGAAAGGTAACATAACAGGCTGAAGAGCAACAGCTGACAAAATTTCCAGTTGTGATACCCAATGCCGATACTGGCCAGTATCAATAGTCTAAGACTAATACCAGTATCGAAACTTTTGTAGTATCAGAACATCCCTATATAGCACTAATTTTGTTTTTATTTATTTAAGTACAAAAAACTGTTAATACAATAAACTAAACTGATAGATAAAACATTTTAATATAATTTTATATATAAACAGTTATTATTATATAATGATATTTTAGAAAAATATCATTATAATAGAAAAGAAAAAAAAATTATTAGAAAGTTTNACAACTTGAGCTTTTGCATAACTCTCAAATTTTATGGAAAAATTTGCCACAGTTATTTATAATTTTTCTATCACCAAGAAATTTTAACTAACAAGTAATTATAATTATAACAAACTTATATAAATAATATAAAACCTTTGACACTTTTTCTAGCAATTTCTTTAATCAAACTAACGTTTTTGGCTATATTTAATGGCCTTCCTCAGGTTTGACAATATTGGAACGTCAGGTATTCGAAAATTTGTTTTCGTTCTCTTAATGTGCTTTAATAAAATACATTGCAATTCAATTATTTATTATCAGTGTTATAATAGTTGTAACTATAAAATATAATTATTAAAGTAAAAAATAACTGATTTTAAACATTTTTATATATAAATTAACATTTTTCTTTGGTCAAACAATATGTTGGGATTTCAAATATTTTATAATTTATTTAACTTGTACGAATAATAATAATAATAAAGAACAATATATAGTTTCTAATGAGATTTTTGTTGCTGAATTTCTTGAGAAAGTTTGTCAAAAAAGAGAATGAAAACAAATTTTCGAATACCTGACATTCCGATATTGTCAAACCTGAGGAAGGCCATTAGATATAGCCGAAAATGTTAGTTAGATTAAAGAAATTGCTAGAAAAAGTGTTGAAGGTTTTATATTACTTATTTACAGTTTTAGCTTTCCATGCATAGAAGTTCTAGCTGCATAGAATAACAAACTTATAACTATTGAGTGTTTTCAATATCCAGATGTTTTTGTGATATCATGTATTATTATAATTGGTAAATTACTAAAGACTACATTGTTGTATTCTATACTGTTGTGAAATTCAGTAATAAAACATACTAAAGCTCAGCATAGAATTGACTATAATAGATTACTGTACATTCTTGTTTTACATCATCAAAGAAAACACACTGCTAACTTTGACAACCTCCACTCCCTATTAGTTTGAATTAGTCAGGGTTTACTGTATTTGTAAGCATATCTTAAATACAAGAAAACTTACAGAATGGGTACCAACTTTATAAGATATATACACTAATAATAAGAAAATTACTTTTTAATTTTATAAGACAGCCTACATAGAAAATTACTAAAACAAAGCCTACACATAACTTACTGCACCATGCCTATGGGAGTAGCCATTGTTCCTTATAAGAACCAAACGTCTTCCAACACTAGAGGAGTTATACTTCAACACTTCAAACAACCTTTCCAGCTCCAGTGATATTTGTTTACACCTCAGCAAACGTTTTCAACCTCATTGAGGTCTTCATCAGGCTACTTTACTTAGGAATTCGAACGCGTTTGGAATGGAACGTATACAATTCAAAATTTATAAACCGATTAAGAATACTCATGGAACGTTATGCACGCGCTAAATTAATCGTCCCCATTAATGAGTGCATCTAATTCTTCTGCTTCTACCGTTACGCAAACTTGATATCACACGTGCTTTACAGTCGTTTTAGCGCGCGCGTAATGTTCCATGAGTATTCTTAATCGGTTTATAAATTTTGAATCGTATACGTTCCGTTCCAAACGCGTTCGAATTCCTAAGTAAAGTAGCCTGATGAAGACCTCGATGAGGTTGAAAACATTTGCTGAGATGTAAACAAATATCACTGGAGCTGGAAAGGTTGTTTGAAGTGTTGAACCATTGTTCCTTAGGTGAAAATTCATAATTGCAATTAAAAATTGGTTTATAAATAATCATCACATAGCAATGCATTTAGATAACAGAAACAAAGAATGATATCCTCAATTTAAGCAAGAACTGAATTAATTTAACAAGAAACTAAACCTTTAATATGCAGCATATAATCTGAGGTGCCTACTACGGCGTGCCTCTTTTCAGGATCGATCTAGTATGCTGATCAATCTGATCGCATCCACGTATATTGTCATCATCATGCTGGATAAACAATTCAGATAGGACAATATGTTTCCCAAGTATTTATTTCCATGTCTAAATACAAAATTTACAACTATTTGTCAATCTTGAAACAATGTTTGAGGCGCAAGGTGAAGAAATGACCAAGCAAAA